TATTCTCCTCTTGAATGTCTATATTCCTTTATATAGGTATTTGCTCTTTTATTTTTTAAAGCTTATGTTGTAAACTGCAAATTTCAGTAGAAAGCCACAAGCAAAATACTATATATAAAAATTATTAAACTTTATTTACAGTTTAGAAATGGAAAGTTGTCAGGCAAAAAAAAAATGCTACAGTTTACTAGATTTGTTCTTAAGTACATACAACTTAAAAACTTAAAAAAAATTAAGTTATGTGCAAGCAAGTTTGCAACATGTTTGCTCATTCAATGAGAGAATATGTTGAAAAATTGTATGCATTTCACAAAGACAAGATTTGTTGGTAAAAATGACACTCGTGCTCATCTGTCTTTTGATAGGTTTTGAATATTTTGCATTAGCTACAAGTTTACATCATGTACCACCAACAAGGGTGACTATGAACAGCAGGTTGAAAATTAACATCAGTATCAAGTTGCTAAAAAGTGAAGAAACACACACAATAGAGCTGTATAATTTGTTACTTTGATTCAGTTTGGAATTTGCATTGCAAAACTGAGCCGGTAAAACATCTTTAAGGAAAAAAAAAGACTTGGTCGCAAAGACACTGTAATGGTTCTTTACAAATTTATTTTAGATATTTTAAGAACAACTAAAGTTTAGGCAAAAATCCATTTTTTGCCAGCCCAGTTGATCAGGTGGATAACTTTTTCAGGAAGCTGGACAGTATAATGTTCTGATAAAAAAAAATGTAGTGATTAGGCTAGCAGTTTTCTTCTATGATATAAAAATGTTTAAAAAGTGTTCATAGTCAACTTGATTCATAATAACTTATAAGGTTGCAACATCATGTTGCAAACTTGTTGATTACATGTTGTAAACTTGTGCAAAATAGTTTTTGAAATGATATGTTGAACATGTTAGTATAAAAAACTAGTTTGCAACATTTATATTGTCTTACCAACTTTGAGTAACTCAATTGTCATAATAATTTTTATACTGATTTTTTTTTAGTCAAAAATATTCTGAACGTATTTTTAATTTAGTGCAATTAATTAACATCATTTATAGTTGATGGAGTCCCTTTTTGCACTAAAAGTAAAATGTGCTAGTAGACTAGTAGTAAAACATTTGGCTCGCAACCAGAAGGTTGGGGTTCAAATTACCTCTGCTGAAATTACTGTGCTCAATCTATTTCTCCGCACAGCGCCTTTGTTTAAAAATTTTAGTTGTTAATGTTGTTTGTTAGTAAAAATGGTAATGTTAAGGTTTGAGACAAAATATTTTTAAAAAATGAGTTGCTCCCTTGACTGAAGTGGTCATTGGAGCAATAGGATGGTGAATTTATGAAATTAAAAAAAAAATTATTGTACTCATACAATTATAAAAATTTGGTATTTTGATCGGTTTTTAAAAAAACCCAAAAAACCCATAAAACCCAATAAAACCCAAAAAAACCCATTTGGGTTGGGTTTTTTTAAAAAACCCTGGGTTTTTTCCAACCCTGCCAATTAGTGCTGCCACCTAGTGAAAAACTGAAGATTAATGACATTTTTTATCTTGCCCTGCTCCTCTATATATGTTTTTAAACATATATATTGCATATATATACAAACATATATGCAGTAAAATACACAAGTCAATATCGGCACAGTTTCAGCTTTTTGACTTTTGTCGCCTTTTTTTTTCCTGTTCTGTCGTGCTTTATTTTCTTTTACTCACTCCCTAAAAATAAAATACTGTTTTTTGGTAGTTATCTTTAAATAATTTTCTGGATTTTTTGTTTTCTTTAAATTATTAGTTGATTGAAAATCAAAATAAAGTTAACAAGGTATAATGATAAAATATATTATAAAAAACATTGTTTACAAATTGCTTGTAATTCTTGCATATTCTAGCCTTTTTTAGACTTTAATTATAACAAAATGCTGCCTTAACTAAAATCATTAGCTGATGTATATTTCTTTGCATGTTTTCCCTCATTGTCAGTCAACCAAGCTATTTACGCTCAACTGCATTTAAGTATATTTAAAATAATAAAACATTTATTCCTCAAATTATAAAGTAAATGGTTCGAAAAAAATTTTACAATTGACCAATTTGCCGTTCGCATTTTACCGACATGAACTACTTAAATGTACTAATAGGACTATTAAAAGCATCTATTAAAGACTTTTATTTTTCTTAAGAAAAATAAAAGTCTTTAATAGATGCTTTTAATATTCTTTAATAGATCTGTTTAGTAGATATAACTTTTTATTTTTTTACATTACAAATAATCTATTTTACTATTTGACTTTTATCAATTTTTGTTTCCGAAAATTAAAGTTATTCTAAAACAAAACAAAAAAACCCTAAAAAAATAACGGAAAAAAATATCCACACGCCGTTGCGCACGTCAATTTTTAAATATCGCGTGCAATTTGATTAATTGTACGTCATTGACATAAAAAAGCTTGCTATATGACGCACGCTAGTCTTTTTATATCTGGGAAGATTAAATATATATATATAAGCCAGGAAGCAAATTCCAAAGGGCTGGAGTTCAAGGGAAAAAAGCTAGACGAATAAGAAATTTTGGAGCACTTAGGAACAGTCACAGTAAAAGGAGAGACATATTTAAATGAAGAGTAACGCAAGAATGAATTTTAGTAGATGGACTCCATATTGTATTCCATACAAAGACAAATTTGAATTTTAAAGAGAAAAAGAATAGAATCCGGAGTAAGAAAGTGGCGAGTACGATAAAGAGATGCAACCTTAGCAGATGTTAATTTTGTAATGGATTTGATATATGGTTTTCAAGAGAGATCAGAAGTGAGGGTTAATTCTAGAAGGTGAGAGATAGATGACTCACTGAGAACATTACTGTTCATAAATATACGAAGATTTCTTGCGTTATCGCAATAATCTAGTATTGTGAAAACAATTAGCTGAATAAAATTAAGTTTTATCTGAGTTAACAGCCACTGAGACCCCATGCGTGAAATATATATATATATATATATATATATATATATATATATATATATATATATATATATATATATATATATATATATATATATATATATATATATATATATATATATATATATATATATATATATATATACATATATATATATATATATATATATATATATATACATATATATATATATATATATATATATATATATATATATATATATATATATATATATATATATATATATATATATATATATATATATATATATATAGGGCAAAAAGGGGCTTTTAGGGCTTTTTTTGTTCCCAGGCTCCAATCATCGCAATTTTTTGCAAAGCATCCTTATTTGACAAGTATAAACAAATATATGTTTGGAGTTTGCTCCATATCTGGAAGTTAGACATCTCGAAGACCAAAATATGCGCCACCCCTGTATATATATATGTATATATACAAATATTATGGTATTTATGATATCAAGAGTTTGAAAAGTTTTGAAAATAGTTTGAAGAATTGAACAATGGAAAATATGCACTCACGTTCTAACACAAGAGACTCAACATTATTATCATAAAAATGTTTTAAAAACATTTTTGCCCACAAAGTTTCTTTTGAGTTTGAAGTAAACTCAGCTGTATGAGGGAAGTGTTCAGAGAGTTATGAGTCATCTCAACCATGAAATTGGCGTTGAAGCAGCCTCGTTTATTTGATTTAATGCTTTTAAAATCTGTGCAACAGAAAGAAAAATAAGCGAGCAACGAGTATATGAATGCTATTATTGGTACATTAAGTAAACAAAATTCAGTGAAAATCCACCTTGAAAATTAAATAATTATTTTAGTCAATGATAAAACAAAAACTTTCGGTGTAAACGTGTTTTAAAAATCGTCGACCTAATAAAACTCGATTTGCCGAATGAGCTTTTGGTTTATTTCTCACACTTATATCAACATTTTGAATCCTATTGAAATTATGATAAAACTTGTAAATAAAAATATGTTAGAAAATTGCTGCGCATTTGACCGAAAGCCGCGCTAGAACTAAATAGTTTTATGCATGTTTTGTAAAAAACATTAGTTAGGATTTATAAATTGAAATTTTTGATTAAAAAAACGTGTATTGTAACATGCCGTCGGGTCGGAAGTTTTCACGAACTGACCGAGATATATGTAGTTCTGAAAACCCCATTCCCTCCTTTTATTAAAACCCTTTTACTTATTAGATCTGGACTATTCAGTCCGTTGTTATGCAGAAATAATGTCATCATTAAATTATTTTTATTTATGTTCTAACTATAAAGATTGACTATGATTCAACAAATGGTTAACTTTTTTAATAAATAATAAACTTAAAGGGTCTATATAAAAATTTTTATTTAAAAATTTATAATAGAAAATTAAAAATTAAAGTCGAAAATTTAACCTATTGCTCAACTAATGCACAACTATTGAACTAAACAACGTCAAAACTTTGGTAAAATTTAATTTACTTTTATTTAAAAGCTTAAAAAAACAATATTAAAAAAATAAAATTTTTCTTGAAAATTTTTTTTCATTGAAAACATTTTTTTTTAAATTTTATTTTTTATTACTGGTGTATACGCCAAATTATCATTGTTGATAAAATAAAAACGTTTTCTGCCTACCTTGATAAAATTTTTTCAAAATAATTCTCATACGTTTGCAGTTTTTCAGACAGCCCAATTCAATTATTTTTATAGTAAAAGATTTTAAATTTTTTATCTTTTGTAATTGTTGCAAAATTTCAAACTCGTTCATCCATAACTACTTAGTTATAACTTACCGGACGTTACGTGATTATAACGGACATAATTAATTCTTAACTGATTTTAATAGCTTTGTTTACAAAAATAAATATTCCATCTTGTTTTAATATTTCCGCCAATTTCTATATTACTCAAAAAAGATTGCCGAAATATCGTTTGAAAATTTATCGATTCTTACAAAATTACCGTTTAAATGTTACGTAACGCATTTTAAATAAAATCTTATTATAATAATAAAGGAAAAAAATCTTACAGTTTGAAACAGAATATTTTTGTTTTTAATAAATAAAATTTGTTTATCAATATATACATGTATAGAAATTTAATATATTTAGACCTTTGAGTCATTTTCCCGTTTCTTTACATTGCACATCGATAGAAATCGACGAAAAAGGAATAGTTTATTTGGTTCTTCTGACAAAGCTAGTCTATTGCTCATCCGTTCGTCCATAGAGGAATATTGTTGAGCAGACATAGACCAGGTGTGAATGCGCTTGATAATATCATCAAAGCACATTTCAAAAGCATCTCTAATGTTAATGTTATACTTTGCTGAAGTATATATCTGCTTTGCTCCTCTTACTGCATATAAAACTGAAGTTATACTTTCGTTTTCTCGTAAATGTAGCTGAGGAGAAGAACCACCGTTTTTATCTATTTTCGTACTGACAATTAATACGGGCATTTTATCTTCACGGACCGTACGAATAGCTTTATAAGATTGCAATAAGTTCTCAACGGAATTTAAACTGGCAAACTCGTAAACGAGCATTATAGCGTCTGCAGTTTTGATGTGAAACACTTTGTTTTCTGTGCTTTCATTCTCGGAAACAACAACGAGCTCGATGTTAAGAGAATAACCTTTGTAATAATAATCTTCATTAGCACGTTTTAGCTTTTTGTTATGCGGTATATCACAGTAAGAGTTATTTAAGAATCTCTCTACCAAAGCTGATTTCCCGCATTTCGGAGAACCAATTATTACTATCTTTCGTCTTTTCTTTTCGTTTCTTGAATTGAATTTTCTGCAATGAGTCGTTTTGTTCATGTTTGTGCAACAGTCTTCTTTAGTAAAAATCTTATTTGCTGAACATTGTTCTTTCATGTTTTAAGTAATCTAAAAAAAAAAAAGTTGCGCTATAACAAATATTTACCGTGCAATTTCAACATCTATTCCAAAAGAACCAACGTGTACGATATCCACACATTCATAAACTTTTGGGTTTTACATTCTATTTAAATTAATCTTCTATTGACGTCAACGTGAACAATAAAAACGAAATAATCTTAACTTGTCATTTGGTAAACGAACGTCATTATAAAAAAATTCTCTTGTAATTATTTTTTTTACGTTTTGCTTCGTAAAAAATAAATACGTGTATGAAGTTATAAAAATCTCGAAAAAGTTAAAAAAAAACCCGACGTTGAACAAAATTTTTAATTTAAAATTTACCTTTTTAATTTAAAAAGTGAAAACCAAAATTAAATTTTGCGACAGTTTCTTCACCGCTTGATAACTGCGTGCGTGTTTCTCAAAATCTTCATTTTTATACAATTTCAAATTTATAGTTGCTATTTTTCTTCACGAGTTTAATTGCGGTTATCCGACTCCCACCTGTTGGAGCTCGCAATTTGAATACAATTCACTTTAAAATAATTTACGCAACGCAATAAACAAAAGATTAGAGTGCAAATAGTTAAATCTAAAAATAACATTTTTAATTTATGTATTGAATCCGTTAGCAATGACAACTAGCAAACAAAATCATCAATATTAACAAATGATATATTTAAAGATATTTTATTTTTTTTCAATTATAACTATTAAAGTTATTAATAACAAAAGTTACTTTTCTTAAATAGTTTTTAACTTCCTTATGCAATAATAAAAGTTTTTAATACAATAATAAATTTTTTTTTTAAACTAAAGTTTTAATTTTTTAAGCTTCTGTATTAACAAATTTTTACAAATTTATAAATTATAAGTTTTAATAAATTAAAACCGCAAAATCCCGCAATGCGAGGGGAAGGGGTGAAAAATTATTATCAATCTTACAAATTTCAATTCTGTATTAAAGTAACGTCTGACCAAAAATCGAAAGAAATAAAATATAAAACAACAACAAACTCATCAAAAACAGTAATTACAAAAAAATATATATATAAAAACTAAAATAAACAAATAACAAAAAAATCTATGTATGCATAAAATGATGGATACTTAAGAAAAGGAATGAATTTTTTTCTTTTTAGTGTGGGGCCTAAAAAATATTTGGGGGCGGGGGGGCTGCAAATTTTGAAGTTCCGCCGCTGAAGAGTTATAAACCTATTTATCATAAATACTTAATCGATTCAGTTTTAACAAATATTTAGGTGGTTTATGATATAAATATTTATGTGGTTTAAATATTCACGACGGTTTAAAACTTTTACTAGTATCAGTTTTGCTTAAAAATTAAATGATATAAACAATATACACCAAAAATCTTATATGGTTTTTAAAAATCTGTTTGCTCCAAAAAATTCCCAAAATTTACCCCTTAAGGCACATTTCATTGTTTTTATATTGTTTAAAAGGCAACAAATTGATTTAAAAATATGCTTTAATATTTCTTTAAACAATATTTTCTTTTTTCATAGCCAAATTTAAAATTTTTATTATTATGGTTATTATTTTAATTTATCTGCATTTAAATAAAAAGACAAAAAGGTGATACAGGTAATTGGAGAATTACTCATGTAAAGGTGAGTTCCCACTCATCCGTTTTTTCACGGGAACGGGATAGGAAAGGGAAAAATAATCACGTGGGCATGCGTATTATAAGTTTTAATTTGTCCGAAGTAAAACTACGCATGCTCACGTGATTATTTTTCCCTTTCCTATCCCGTTCCCGTAGAAAAACGGATGAGTGGAAACTCACCTTAACACCAAGTTTAAGACAGTAAACAGTGTCTCTGAATATTGTATGTTTTTAAATTCGATTTAAATAGACACGATGAAGAGGAATTCACCATATAATCAGGTAAAGAAGTCCATATCTTAGTAACCGGTTGCCGATAGTCTTAATAATTTAATCAATTTATCTAAAATATGCGAGTTATTTCAGTATAAAGTATTTAGTAGTTTAAAAAGATTGATATTTGTTCAAAAGAATTGTCCTATACTTTTACGTCATCATATCAACTTTCTTTTTAAATCTGCGCTCTCCCAAACTGAAAAAAACCAATAAATACGAGTCAATCGGCTCGTATTTATATGATTAATACTTCGGCTATTTATCGAGTTGAGACCATGGGCACCTTTAAAGTCATGCAATATCTACCGGCAAAAAAAATATACTGTTCACGAAGGTTGCGGAGCAATCTTTAAAACAAGTAGTGACTCAGTGGGCACACGTCGTCCGGAGGACGTCCGTTAGACGTCTCACGGACGTCCAGACGTCCGTAAGACGTCCAACAAAAGTCCCTCGGACGACGCATGCCCACTGGGAAAATTAGAATAGTAGGAGATATTAGATTATTAGAGTTTAGAAAAAGTTACAAAACTAATGTTTATACATATTTCAAATAACTTATTTGGTATATATTATTTCAAACTTTATATAGCTTATTTAATAAGCCATATAAAGTTTGAATCATACAACGTTTAAAAAATTGTGGCTTACAATGAATATGTAACCACGTGCGTATTGAAGAGTGATGCGGAGTAATCTTTTTTAAAAGATAAATGAAAGCAATAATTATTTATTTACTTTTTAAAGTTCATCATTTTTTATACAGAAAGCAAATGGTACCTGTTTCGGAAAGTTAAAAACTTAATGTTTAAATTTATGTCAAATAAGTCATATAAATTTTGAATCATACAAAGTTTGTAATTGCAACTTACGGGGTGAACGTGACGTGTTTTTTACGTTAGCATAGTTTTACAGTAACAAAAAGAAAGAAAGAAGATGAAAAAAAGAAATTTATTGAATTAAAAGTTATATTATCGTTTGCAAATGATACAAATATTTATGTATATATAAATATTTTCCATGGAAAATATTTATATATACATAAATATTTGTAACGTGGTTAACAGGAAAGAACATAAAACTATAATAGCGGAGAATTTAAAACTCAAGAAGTTTCGTTAAAAAAGATGATGTCAAGAAATGCGAAATTTCAACCAGATAAAAAAAACAAAATATTGCTATCATTAAAATTATAGGAAAACGCGTTGAGTTAGTCGTAGAAAACGCGTTAAACGCGTTTAGTTAGTCGAACAAAAATAAAACTCTAAAAAAGAATAGCTGAGAAGTTGAAGTGTAATAAAACAACATGCAAAATTTTAAATGACAAAAAAATTCTCACTCTTTGACAAAGCATTGAAAAAGTTCATTAACGCGGAACTGAAATAATGGCTAGCTAAGTAAGCGAACATAACAGACCCAACCCAGCCCACCCCCTCAACCCAGCCTACTTTTTTGAACGTTCAAAAGACGATCAGAACGTCTTTTGAACGTTCAGAAGACGTCTTTTTAGGATCAAATGTCGGCTTGGTTAGATTAAGTAAACGTTTTAAAAAATGAAATGAAAGAAAGACCAAGACAACTGGAGATAGAAAACAAAAAAATAATCTAAGGATCAATAGTATTTGCGAAAGCGAACTTGAAACAAGGGTTGAAGTTTGAAACGTTGAAAACAAGGGTTGAACGTGTTTCAAGGAAAAAGTACAAAAAATCTTTAACAAGCAGCTGAAAATAACCACTGTTGTTGTTAAACATATACAGAGGGTTCAATAAATATAATTCAAACTTTGATTCAAATCATTTTTAATTAAAAAAAAGTTGCAAGTTATTTTAGCCAAGAAGCGTCAGATTATGAATCCTACTCAATACCCGAGTCTATCCAATATTTTAGTCAAAATAAAAAAAATGTTTTTATTTTTAAGTATAAACTTTTGAAGTAAAAGCAAAAATTTTATAAATTTAAGAACGTTGTTGCATGAAATAATTCACGGTTTTAAAACAATTTGCCTGACAGACTCTGGTGTCAAAAACGACGAACTAAATTTACACCTTAAATCACTAGATATCAATCAATACAGCAACCTCTTGACTCCAATGCCAGTGGAGGTGTTAGTCCTTTCATTCATAGCTTTATAAATTTTGTTCCACGTAATGATCTCTGCATTAATGAAAGAAACTGTGAGTCATTATGCATAAAAACTATAAACCATATAACTAAAAAAGTTATCGTTTTTGCAACTTATAGACAACACGCTGGCAATTTAAAGAAAATCATAACAGTGTTACGCATTTTCCTCGCCAAGGTAAATAAACACGGAAACGTGTTTACGTATAAGGTGACCTCAATTTAGATATTTTAAAGTGAAATAAAAATATTAAATGTCTTGTTGATAATGATCCAGATCTCATTCCAAATATAACTAAGCCAACAAGAGTTACTAAAAGTTTAATTTCTCGAAAATGCTTTTATAATATAGGTTTAATTTTTAGACTAACTTTGCAACTAATAATCTATCTTTGAACTATTTACAACCAATGAAAGTTTCTTAATACAATTTTGCAATCTTCTAATCAAAGTCCTCCATTGGAATCTTGTTTTCCAATCTCAAAAAACTCGAGCAATTCAGAATGTGCGCAATTCAGATAGCAATTCAGAAAACAATACAACTATCATTTTCCTGAAAGAACATTATAAGTTATGAAAAAAACATTTTAAATAAACAATCACTTCCTCATCCCTAAAAACAAAAGGATTTCTATTAGAAACCAAATTCTTAAAAACAAAAGAGAATAAAAAAACTTCATAAAAAACTTCTAAAAAATAATCTTATGATAATAAAAAAATCTACAAAATTTATAAAAACATTTTTGAAAAAAAGTTGCAGAAATTTTTTACAGTTTAATTAAAAAAAAACAACGGCATCATCATTCTGTATAGGCTTTTCACAAAAGAGTTTGAGTGAAAGATATAAATAACATTGAAATAGATAACATCGGAAAAGCAAGAACATTAAAAATAGAAAAAAAATGTTTGAAAATAAAATAGGGAGGTCCAAGAAATACTAAAGAACACGTGCTCTGCGAAAAACAGCGGGATTAATATTGATGAATGCTAACGTTTTTGACCACGTTTTGTTCGCCAGATTTTAAATTCAAACTTTTTAACCGTTGACGTCAATAGTAACAGGTTTATATAATTGTAAAGGTTAAAAATTGTTGTATTTAACAACATAACTGTATTTCTTAATGTTTTTTAAACGATACACACTGTTTTCAGTAATAATGCTCCATACAGTGTGTTATATAATAGGTATAACAAATATATATTTGCTATAGTATAATTTTATTTTGAAAACTAAACAACTAGTAAGATACATTTAAAAACATAAATTAAAGCTTCACGCAATAGCGATTATCAGATGTTATAACAATAACGAAAAAACGCAACAACAAATATTATATGCATAAAATGCTATGTTCCTTTTGATGACATTAAAGTTTAAAATTAGAAGTTTATTTTCACGACGGCACCTTGACGTCAATGATGTCAGGATCCGTCACTGCTTGACGCAAGCTCCATTCGATCATTAAGCAAACTTAATG